GCGTGCCGACAGGACCTTAATCATCATCTCTCTAGCCATGTAGCCATCCCTTTCCATCTCTCTGCCTTCCGTCTGTCAGTCAGCGAATGTGTTTTGAATTATTGCGCTGTAAATTCAAAAAGGATGATGATGCTCCCCCTGCGCAGCTCAAGTGAAAAAAGATGGCAAAACAAAGGGATATTGTGACAAGGATTTATTAGTGTGAAGGAAAAGAGGGGTGCAGCCTGGATGGGATGGACCATTGTCCATTGTCTTTTCATTTTCATACCCGGGGTGGATTTTTAGCAGCCAGAAGAAGAAGAGTTTTTAAGGGGTCTGAGGGTCGTGTCAAAGTGCAATTATTGCCCATTGCAACAATCCGCTTTCGTTCTTCTTGAGGGGCTGAGTGGCTTAAAGTTTCTCATCCGGGAAATCGGATCTCCTGGCAGCCAATTAGACGGGTATTAGGTAACCCAACACCTCTCCCACTCCAAAACTTAACCCTTAACGAAAGGCGGCGCAGAAGGAGGAGCAAACTTTCGACCAATTTACTTAATGGCTTTGGTTATAAGCAGGAGGACACGGTTATACTAGTTAGCCATCCAGCTAAGAGCCATCTTTTTAGCCGAGAATAATGGGCAAAATCTGCTCTGCTTGTGCTGCTGCGAAAAGTTTTATTGCAATTGCCAAATTAATTTGCCTGCCAGAACTTTTGCAAAGGCAAAAAAGGAAAGAAAATGAGGAGCTCCACAAATGTGCGTTCATTAATTTAATTTTTCATTAAAGAAAAGCAAACGCCGCCGGGGGCCAAATGAAAAGTGTCATAAGACCGCCCCTAAAAAAACAGGGGAAAAAAATAAAAAGGGGAGCAGCGAAAAATTTATATTTGACCATAAACAAAAGGCCGCCGCACGAACGGCATTCAAATTATTCGAAGCGGAAAAAGGGAAAAGGTGGGCAAATGGCGGTGAGGTATCACCTTTTATTTTAATATTTCGGTCATTAAAAAACGTTTCACAGCAGCAGCCGGCGACTCGAGTCGAGTGTTTCTTCGGTTTCAAGTCGTCTGATTTTGAATTTAGGCCAAAAAAAATGTGAGGTAAAAACTTATTCAGACCAATGGAAACAAATCGTTGCACCTAGCAATTTCAACAAAAGCAATAACCTTTAACGATGCCAAACAAAAAATGAACAGAAAAATGAGGTCGAATTTGGGAATACTGTGGGATATTTTATATTTAATCGAATTTAGGGATTTCATAAGGGTTGGCATATTTTATATTACTTGAATTTGAGATTTCCAAAAGTTAAAATCGGACAATCCATTAAAAAGTTTTGACCAAAAAATGAAGTGATCGCTAGATGGAGCCAGTAGCTTTGACAACTGCATTACTCTCTTGTTTACATTGAATTTAAAAATCAAATGAATTTTTGTCAAGTAGAAAGGGTTGATGAATTGTTCTCCTTAAAGGAACTTGCATACCTAAAAGGTCTTCATTTATTTTATTTTGTCATTCTAACCAAAAAGAAAAATAAAAAGGAGCAACCAAAAAGTAACGTCAAACAATTAGGTCTAAACGCTTTTATAACACCGCTCCGTAGGCAGGCAAAACTGAGGTCCCCAAAAAAATCTTCAGATTAATGACAGCGCAATTTTTACGATTGTTGGCCAAGTTTTGTTCGAATAAAGTTCCGTTCCGCCGCCCAATGAGTTTTCTTCACGTGCTTTTCCGCGCTTTTCCACACTGTTTTCCTCCGCCCCGCGGCCATTCCATTCGTTTCCCTTTCACGAAATTTATGAAATTTCACCTTTCGGCCAAGCAATTTGCTCCATTTACATTCTTTATTAGCCGCCGCAGTTTACCAAGAGTTTCCCGACTTTCCCGACTTTCCCGGGGCAAGCAAAGAAAAATTGTTTGTTAAGAATTTTCGCGCAAGGAACAAGGGGAAATACGAACGGAAACGGAACAAAGTTTTCCATTCTTATTTGGCTTTGTTTAGTGTGCGGCTGAAAGTAAGGATCAAGAAAATAAAAATACATAAAAATGGTCACATTTCGTTTGAGAAATGCTAAGCTTATGAACTGAAACACGCACAAAAATATATAAACAATTTGAAAACGGAGAAACATAATTAATGATTAATTAAATATTTAAAAAATCCAACTGAAAGCGAACACATTCATTTAATATGTCAAGAATTCCCTCTTAAATTTAATAAGAAGAAAAAAATATTATAAATAATTTATTGAACAAACCACGTATATTGTAAATGAAATTAAAAATACTTTTTATGAATTCAAATGAAATACAAAAATGAAAGTTCAAGTAAACAAACTGAATGGAAATAAAACCAAACAATGCTTCAACTGTTTTTAATGCAATTAAATAATGACTGCGGGTTAAATGCAGCAAAATGTAAATATATTATGTTGCCAAAGGGTAAAATGTGCGGTAGAATTTAATGAAAGTAATTAAAGAAAAAAACGTGATTAAACGCAAATATTACAAAATGCAAGGAAAAATATTATTTGAAAAAAAAATCAAAATCAGAATCAAGGGAATTAAGAGAAAAGAACTCGATAGAGTTTACCTCCTGCCACTTCGTTGACATTTTTGGGCCAACGTTTGCTAGGCAACGTAATTTCCAACCCAATTTTTCTCCCCACCTTTACTCATATTTCACAGAGACAGGGGAATTTAATAAATTCATCATCTTTCATTTAGTCTGCTACACTGTCCAAAAAACAGAAGAAAAAAAAACAAGAAATGAAGAATGGAAATCATAAAAAAAAAACCAGACAACGTGGCCAAGAGGAGTTACCAAAAAAAAAAAAGAAAAGAAGACACAAAAAACGAAGGAAAAAGAGCGAAAAATACAAAATCGTGACTGTCATTTCAACGAAGCGAAGTTATTTTTCATGACAAAGCAGCCGAAGAGGAAAACTCCTCCGACTCATTTTCCGACATTTGCAGCGGGGGAAAAAGGGGAGGAAAAGGAGGCATTCCAGCGTTAAAATACCTTTTACTGGCACATTACCCCCCTCTATTTTTTTGACCCGCCCCCTTCCCCTTTTCCTTCAAGTGAAAACCAAAATGCAGTCGACTTTGCTGCGTTTTTCATGAAATTATTACGACTTTGGAAATGGGGTCGTACAAAATGTCGTTACGTTGGCGGAACAAAGTTATATAGCCCCTGCTCTGCTGCTGTCCGTTCAGAGAGCTGCTCGTTTTAGTTTATTGTTGAAAATTTCTTTATTGTATCTGTATCTGCGGAAAAAGGTTTGAAAATTGTCTAAGCTGAAAGCGGGAAATTGAGCAGTAGAAAAAGAAATTAGACGAAGAGGTAGCTGTGTTTATTTTACCATCTCTATATCGAAGAGGATATCCAATAACCTTGCTAGAAACCAGTGGCGGATTCAGGAATTAGTTGTGGGGCAATAAATGGTTGGTTGCATACTTTTTAAATACCCAAAATAATTTCCTTATTTATTCTAACCATCAACTGAATCATTTTTAATGATTGTTCATTTCGATCGTTAAAATAAGTGGCCTTTCTTCACCTCTTTTTTATCACCCTGAGCTCCCGAGTCTTTGAGAAAGCGATGTTTTATGGGTGAAGTAGGTAGGAGTTCTCACGATTTTAATTATTATTAACTGACAACTTTATTACATCATTTAAATGCACAAGAGAGGATTACCATACAAATGATAATATTTCATAATTTGATCTTCATTCCATATTGATCTTGATCTTGACTGAAGATCATTGGTGCTTTCCTTTGTGGGATGATCGGTTATTTCTGGCAGAGAGATTCAGATTCTCACGCACCTGCTGATGATGATCAACAACTGACCCACTTGATCCGATTTAAAAAGTCTAGACGGGCGAAGAAAACTGTCTCTCTCATAGAAAAGGCTGTCTCTTTCACTCGCTCTTGGCTCTATCTCTCTCTTTTTGATGCCAGATCTTTGTCACACACACGCGTTAAGGTCGCATTAAAAGACCATAAAAAAAAGAGCTGGGCATTACTTTTATTTTTACGTTGGCAGTTGTTTGTGTGGAGTATACATACTATATATAGAGCTGTGGCTATGGCGACTCTCCTTTTTTCGGCTGCTTTCTCGCATCATCATCATCATCATCGCCATCATCTCGTCGACGTCTCGTGATGAAGGCCATCAAAAATCTAATAAGCGTGAAATAATTGACATTTAAGCAAAGCGCACGCACATAGACAATGGACTTGGTTTTGGTTTTGGAGTTTGAGTTGGTCTGTAGACCACAGAACCAACCGCAGTAACCCCTCCTTCTCTTCCAAGCCCCCATAGATATATATATATATATATATATATAGAGATTCCCCCGATTTTGTAGGCCAAGTGACTGACGACTGAGAATCATGACAGATGACCGCACGTACATTTCACGTTTCCACGTTTCACGACCAGCGACGAGCGATGGAACCGCGACCAAGATACTTATACATTGTCCCGGGAAAAAAGATCATTCTCCGTTTTTCTGGGTCATGAACCAAAAAAGAAATGTAAAATAATGAGTTGGAGTTTTATTCTCTGGCAAAAAGGGGAGATGCTCTGCTCATTCGCATTCTTGGCACCACCTCAGCTTTTTGGCACCTGTTTTTAGTTAGAGCAACGTGATATGCATACAAATAGAAAGAAGACGGGTCAACTATTTTATAAGAAAATCGGGTGACAAGTTGTAGATCATGAACATGAAATGTGAGTAGAGCTGCTAACAATTCGATTTCAAAAGCGATTTAATCGATATTTTTCAGAATTTAAACGAAATTAATCGATTTTCAGCTCTACCTCTGAGTTATTGTAGTGAATAATGCCATTCTTCACCTTATACTATCTCTTAAAGTTTATGAGCCATATATATTGAAGTCATCACATTTTTGCTGGCTTGAAGAAACTGCATCACATCCACTTATAGACACATCAATATCCATAACTCTGACTAACCATTCCTCCTTCTTTCTTTTTTTTGTTTTGCAGTTAAAACGGGAGCTGCAGACTGGGCCCCATATATTCAATGTCCACAATTTAAATGGTGAGTGCAAAATAGAGTGTGAAATGCATTTATAAAAGGCTTGGATGGTGGGTGGTATATCCCCCTAAACTAAATTGCTTTCCGGCTCAGTTGGGTCTGGATATCGGAGGGGTTTCAAGAGGGGGAGTGGGTTTCAGGGGGCTGGGGCTTTACCTATAAACCAAAATGAATGTCTGCAACTCGACCACCGCCCGCTGAGTTGAAAAATGGAAAAAGAGTGCAAAAGCAGGGGGTGTAGTATGGTATAGGCTGCAAAAGGGAAGTAAATGCAAATAGATGCCTCGCTTTAATAGACAGATGAACTGGTTAGAATAGCCCCATGCTGACTGCAACGTCATGAGGGGGCTAAAAAAAAGGGGTTGTAAAAAAAGGGGGAACTGGACAGGGCTTTGGAATGTGCCGACCTCATAATCATCACTGCCATCTTAATCATCACCATCATCACACTGCAGTCTCCCCTCTTTTCCTTTTTTCTTTTTTATTAGAACTCCGATGATTCAAGTACAATGTAGTAGCACTTTATAGTAAATGCAGGGTTGGGGTCACCAATTTACCACCTTCAAATTGGTGACCAAAATGCTTTTCCTTTTTTTTCTTTTTTTTTATTTGAACTCCGATGACTCAAGTACAATGTAGCTCTTAATGGGGAATGCATGATGCATTAGTGACCCCAACCAATTTACCACCTTCAAGTTGGTGACCCCAATGCTAAATCTTTTGATTTAATTGCTAGCAGCAGCACCTTTAATGATTCCAATGGAAATGCGGATGTTTGTTTAGTTTCATGCGGATCATCCGGCTGCCCAGAGGAACCTAGTAGGAACCTCAGAAATCCCAACCATTTCCCCCCAAACTATTTACCCCGGTGTTTCCACTCTCCTGCCATTACGCTGACCAAATATTGCCACAAGCTGACGGCAGAATCCATCCTCATCCTCCTCGTTGCTTGTCGAGGGAGCGACATTGTGCAAAGCCAACTGTGCAATTATTTGCACAACTAATAATTCACTTTAGTGTCTCATTCAGGGCAAATATTGGAGATGGGAATGATGATGATGACAGGAATGTTATGGGGGTAAGACATTTGCGATTGTCATTAGCGTCTCAAAGAATGTCAGTGCAATCCAATCCCGAAAATAGGGAAACCAACCCACAAGACACAAGATTCGCATCTCGAATGCCAGTCATGTTTGGCCTTTTGCAACTCGGGGTTCCAAGTTCCCCCTGCGAAAATGTCAACAAAATGTTGTTAACCATAAGCTGCTTACTTACTAGTTTTGTTTTTATTCCCCGCTTTATTGCCATTGCTCTGTGTGTTTTTGCGATTTTAATTTGGCTGCCGATGCCGATGCGATGCCGCTGCCCATTAGGCAAACGGCCTTGAATCTAAACAGCCGATTGATTCCCACAATGAGTTGGGCAAATTGTTTGCTTTGAATACGGAACGGCCTTTGTTTGGCTTGGTCAGTCGGGCTAATTGCCGCCAATCCGCTGAAATGGTAGGAATGGAGGAGTCTCTTGGCCTAAACCCACAGTTTTCTGATCAGAAAAATGTATTCAAGAGGCCGAAATTAACCACTTGGCATCTTCGTTTTTTTCGTTTTTCTACAAGTTAATTTACAAGTACTTGAACTTAGGTAAAGAAACTTAGTCAACTAAATTTGAATTCGATTTCATTATTATATCTGGAAATATTGGATCAAATAAGCTCCCTCCATAGATCTTGAAAATTATCGATATTTTCGATATTTTTGTTTCGATAATATCGATATTTTCAATGAAAAAGTATTAAATATCGAGACTACCTACCCATAGTCTCGCCTTCCAAATTGTTGACTGAAAGTCGCACAATCGGCGGCGTCATTCACCTTCAAAATAAAATCATGTCGCATTTGGTAAAGCGGAAAAACCAGTAATTAAGTGTCTCGCCAGCTTTTCGCTTTTCCCTGCGGTGGCCCCCAAAACAAAATTCAGCCGACGACCCAGTAGTGTGGACAATTTGTAATTGAAACTTTCATTTTCATTTCCATTTTCATTTTCTCCCACTGTTTGTTTGTTTGGCCGACATGAAAAACTGGTGACATCAGTTTCGTTCGGTTGGTTGGTTGGTTGGTTGAACAACTTGCGATGTTGCAAGTTACTTATCATTATCATTTCGATTCGATTCGATACGTTTCATTGACACGACAATGTCACAATTGCATGCACTCAGCATTAGAGGTAATTTCAATCACGCTGCAATTGGGCAACAGTCACTCACAAGCAAAGAGTCAGTCCAAAAAGATGTTGTACCTATAGTTTTATAATAATTAATAGAAGTGTTGGAAAATAAATAGTTACCAAAGAAGAACAAGAAGGTGATTTAATAGCTTAAATGCCTTGAAATCGAATCTAAATTATTATTTTCTGCAGCAATATTGAACTAAATTCTTTTATGTCACAGCTATAGCTTTAAATTTCTTCCCACGTTTCGATATCAAAGCCAATAATAATTCAGCATATTCCGTTCTCTATTGCCGTCTTCTTCCCTACTCCCTTTGCCCTCTCGCTCGCACCTTAAGGTCTTAAGTGAGGCAAAAGCAAATTGGTCTGAAACCCGATGACATCCACGTCGTCGCGTTGCTTCCGCCGTATTTTGTTGTCATTGTCGCCAGAGTTCCCCCCTTAAATTGTAACTGGTAGGTAACTGGGTGCAGTGACTGAATCCGAAAGGGTTGGCTATGAGCTAATGAATGACATGCTATCCTAATGAATGACAAGCCTTGCTCTTGCTTTCGCCTTAGGTGCTACACTAAAAAACTAAGCGTAGGGTTAAGTCTCCGAAATTTGGTACATAAAAGTAATTTCTTATTAGGAAATAGTCACTGGCGGATCCAAGATTTATTTGTGAGAGGTGTTTTCAGAAAAAACGTTGAGTTGCATACTCTTTGAATACCACATTTCCTTTCATTTCTCACTCTGCCGACTCAAACATTGTTACTAATTGATATTTCATAATTTTATGCTCCTTTTCTCGCTGTGTATGCTTGCTTTTGCTACCTGAGCAAATCAATGGCTGGGCTTAAACAAATGATGAAATACGATATTTGTCCTCGACGTTGCTTGCTTTTCCTTCCCATTGGGACAGTTGTTGTTATTTCTGCTGCTGCTGCTGCCAGGGAAACTTGATCTGAAACTAACGGTTTCCACCTGCATCTATGTATCTCCCATGCACTCGAAGAAAAGTGGTGGGAAAAGGGAAGGGGAAGATCTTCAGATCGCATTAACAGTTGGTTATTACGCTTTGCAAAATGCCAACTTAAACTTGTCAACGTCGAAATGAAAATTAAGCACAATAAATTACGCATACGACGCATAAGCCAACAAACGTCGGCCAATGGCCAATTCAACTCGTTGGCTTGGCGGCCAGTGAAAAAGTTGCCTGTAAATGAACAAAAAATAATTAAAAATGCATTTTTCATTAAGGCATTAAAATGCACGACCAAATGGGGTGGGGGAAAGAGAAAGAAGAGGGAAAGGGGTGGCCGGCCGGCCATTCATTTATTTCATTTATCTTGGGGTTGCCCGAACTCGAACTGTGAATCGCGGATTGCGAACTGCAAACTGGACTGCGGCCCGCCAGTTCATTGATTATAATGCCGACATCGAGTGTCAGAGATGGAAAATAAAATTAATTTTAAAATTCATACTACATATTTAAATTAAATACAAAACATAGTATTTAATATAAAACATATACATGATTTGATTTGAAAATATTTTACTCAAGGTAGAAAACATTAAAAATAATTAAAAAATACATCATACAAAAAATAAGTATAAGTGTGGCGTCTATACATTGAGAATTCTATAAATATAGTTATGGAATCTTCTATCAATCATCTATATGTTCTTGCTTTAATCCTTTGCTTCGATTATGGTGTTTCGATTCTTCCCGATTAATTCGATTACCCCGTGATCGTCGTGAGGCCATCCCTAGTTCCCTGGCGAGATGCTCTGGGAGTTGCGTTTATGTCATTTTGAAATTATCATTAATGCCCCGATGGGGCAAAGGGGGTCGGATTGCGAGGAGGAGGTGCAGATATGACCACTTCATTTTGCAAACAAACGGCGGCAACAACAATTTGTGCGGTGTGCAGGTCGGAAAAGGGGAAAAACGACGAAGGAGAGAGGAAAAGGGGAAAAAGGCTTGTGGCGCGTGACGGTCATTGAAACAATGCGCGGAAAAACGCGTGTAATTAAAACAATAAAAAGCTCCAGCGACAACAGAAGCAGCAGCAGCAACAAAAACTACAACAAAATACCCAGCGGCCAAAGCAGCAACAACAACAACAGCAAAATGTTCAGTTAAGTTTTAATTTTCACAAGTGTGAAAAATACTATTGAAAAGGCCGCGCACATTTGCGAAATACAAAGCGCGCCTCTGCCAACGAGCCACTTCCGCCCAACAACAACTAAAAAAAAAAGAACAGCAACAACACCTGAAACGGCAAACAAAAAACAACTCTTGAAAAAAAAACAAACAAAAAACTGGGAATGAAAAGAATTTTCCTTTATTTTTTTTTATTCTCGCGGACTGTGAATGAAAAGTGTTAAATTATATGGCTAGCGAACAGATAATAATACTCAGTTGGAATCGAGGGAAAAAGAAAAGCGCAGAATTTTCCCCAAGGCGTTTTTCGTATCGTATCGTGTGTATTAACCATGTTCAGATTTCAATCTAATTGGATGGATATAGTTGATTGTTGCGATGGGAACAGGCTTATTTTGAAGTTTTATTTAACAAAAGGAATAGATGGAAGTATGTAATTTATTCTATAAATAATTTTACATGTAATTTATAATTTGTTCTAATGAGAACATGGTGGATTTATGCAGTTGTCAAAGCTACTGGCTCCACCTAGCGGCCATTTCACTTTTTGCTCATAAGTCCAAGCAATTGAGCTGCAAATATTGTACACGTTCATTAAAATTTAATAGCAATCAAATTGGAAATCGAG